TCTGTCCTCTATTTCCAATCTGTACAATGGGAATAATAATATTTTCTAAATCATGGTGTCACTGTGATGATTAAATGAATATATGCAAAATCTCTAGAAGGTATCTGGCACTATAACATATATTTAATATATGAAACATGTTATAATTGCTATGTGATTATTACAACAGGTGAGGATTGTTTTTCCTGTGTGGATGATTAATGACTAACTGGATCAAACACTATATACCCATATACTAATAAATTAATTCTAATCACTCATTTTATAAATGGAGAAATATCCATGTATGAACTCATCCATTTGAAATGGATTTCTTACATTATAAAAACTAGCCTAAAAATATAAATTAGAATGGGAGCTCAGAGTTGGGAAGCATTCTAGTAGATGGCCAATCCAACAGCCCCTCCTGTGCATGTTTCCCCCAACTATCTCCTGGGTGCTTAACTGGTCCAGTTCGTTAAAGGTGGAAGAAGTTTAATTTTATTTCTGTTGGCTCTGGATCTCTGCCATATGTGACAGTTCATCCTATACCAGAGGCATGAAGAAACTGTTCATTGTAGTGATTTTCTGATGGGATGGTATTTGTGCAGCTTATTAAAGTTTTAGTGGGAAAGTTAATCTCTTCTGACACGTAGGGTCTCAGGTCCTACTGTGGTGCTGGACACAGCCAATAGAACTGAATGAGATGACAAAGATGTTTTCATGTTCTTGGACCAGCTGCTCCATAAGAGAGAAGAGTTTGGAATCAGATAATTTTAGAGCTAAAAAACAAAACAAAACAAAAACCCACAAAATGATCCAGACCCCTTCAAATGATCCAAAAATGAGGAAATGGCACCAAAGAGATTAAGGGACTTGGCCACAGGAGCCCAGTTACTTAGTGTGAGTGTACAGAGTAAGGGTTCCTTCCATCACCTCTCTCTAGTTCTCTGACCATAGTGATTAGAAACATGGGCTCCAGAGCCAGGCTGCTTTGATTCAAATTGTGATTCAGCCCCTTACTGGATGTATAATCTTCAGCCACTATGCACTTCTCTCTGCAATTTTCTTTTTGTCTTTTCTTTCTTTATTTTTTTTAACTTTTTTTCCCTCCCTCCCTCCCTCCCATGTCCAAGTCTCACTCTGTTGCCCAGATTGGAGTACAGTGGCACTATCATGGCTCAGTGCAGCCTTGACTTCCTAGGCTCAGGCAATCCTTCCACTTCAGCCTCCCAAGTAGCAAGGACTATAGGCATGCACTACCGTGTCTGGCTAATTTTTTGCTTTTTTATAGAGATGAGGTCTCACTGTGTTGCCTAGGCTGGTCTCAAGCTCATGGCCTCAAGCAGTTCTCCTGCCTCAGCCTTCCAAAGTGCTGAGATTACATATGTGAGCCACTGCACCCAGTCATGCTTCAATTTTCTTACTTAGAAAATGGAAATAATAATAGAGGTATTACATTTAAGGCATTTAGGACAGTGCCTGATGCATAAAGAGCACTCAGAGAATGTGTATCATTGTTGCTAGTTTCCCAAAGAACCTCAGGAATGTCAGCTCCTAACCAAGCTGGAGAGTGCATATTAGCTCCTAACCAAGCTAGCGTATACATGTTTTGGCCAGGCTGGTGTTTAAAAATATTTTCTCTCACTAGAAATATGGCTTTATATTTCTTCTTTGCTTCTGATTCAGAAGTAATCTTCAGGACCCATCTGTGAATGAACAACCATATTCTTTTTTGGAATCATTGAGTGACTTTTGGATGAAAGGAGAAAATAACTAAAAAATTATTTGCCATTATTTATGGCTTTCAATTAATATTCAGCAAATATTAACAGAGTAGTTTTCTGTGTGTCTGGCACAGAGATAGGGTCTGGGTTCAAAAGTGGGCAGTCTGATGTGCCCCTCACTCTCAGGGTAGTGAAGGGGAACCCCCAAAAAACTGGAATTATTTTTTTGTAGGGCAGGCCTCTTGTGGTACAGGCTTCTCCCACTAGGTAAGTGCTCTAGGAATCCATCAGCATCAGTATACCAGCTACCGTGATTGTGAGGGGCTGAAATCAGCTTCAGTTACTTTTCTTTGGAGATTCTTTAAACATGTCTGTCCTTCTCAAGATGGCTGATTTACAAGTGCCCCTCCCCATGGAGCACTGAGTGTTCAGCAGTTGTTGACCAAAAACAGCATGACCCCCATATCCCACCCTCCCTAGTCATCCAATCGTGGCCCAAGTGACTTCTTTTTGTTTCCCTGGATGAAAAAAAGGAAAACATTTTGCCAGTTTGGAAGAGGTGAAACAAAAAATAGAAGAAGCACTAAAAGGAATCAAAATTGATGAGTTCAGAAATGTTTTGAGCAGTGAAGAAAGAGTCTCAATAGGTGTATTTCATCTAATGAAGAGTGCTTGGAAGTTGACTGAAGTTTAAACATTTGAGAACAAATACAAAATTTTTATAACTAAATTCCAGTTTTGGGGGTGCCCCTCATATGTGGGTCAGATGGGATAATTGACAGATAGGTAATGCTGTCACAGGGTGGGAGGGAGCACTGATAAGGAGAACAGAGAACTGTTTCCAGCACATGGAAGGAGGCCTTGGCCTGATATAAAGGATCAAGGAAGGTCTTTCTGGAAGAAATGATGTCTAGGCTGATATCTCAGTGTTGAGTTATATTCTTGACTAGTCTATTCAGGGACTGGAGAAGGGTTTTCCAAGAACAGGGAACACGTGTGTGTATGTGTGTCTGTGTGCATGTGTATTTGTGCGCTCCACACGTGCTCAGAAATGGGAGAACACTGGGTGTTCACTAATTTATTCAACATTTAGCAAATATTTTTAATAAGGACTTACTGTGCAACAGGCATTGTTTTGCACAATAAGGAGACATCAATTGACAAAATAGGCAATATCTTTATTTTCATAGAAGTTATAGGGGGAAACAGTTAAAAATTAGTGCTATGAAGAAAACTACTTGAGGGAGGATGATCAAGGAGGCTCTTAGGATGATGTGACAGTCAAGTTCTGAGACTTGAATGATGAGAAGGAACTAGCCGTGCAAGCATCTGGAGGAAGCAGAAGGAACAACCAAGGCAAACGGCGCAAAAGCAGGACCAGTCTCAGAAACTGAAAGAGGGCCAGGGCTGCACTGGTGTGTGGAGGATGTGGGGAAAGTGCATGAATAATTCAAAGGGTGTTCTATTAGGGTGGCTGTTATCAAAAAGACAAAAGTAACACATGTTGATGAGGATATGGAGGAAGAGGAACTTGATGGGAATGTAGATTGGTGCAGCTATAGTAGATAACAGTGTTCAAGTTCCTAAGGAAATTAACAATAGAACTACCATATGACCCAGTGGTCCCTCTTCTGGGTATATACCTGAAGGAGGTGAAATCACCACCTCCTAAAGATATCTGCACTCCTATGTTCATTGCAGCACTATTCACAATAGCCAAGATATGGACTCAGTCTACTTGTCTGTTGACAGATGATGGCTAAAAAAAATGGGGGCTATAAATATACAATGGAATGTTATTCAACCTTGGAAAAGGAGATCCTATCATTTGTTACAATGTAGATGAACCTGGAAGACATTATTCTAAGTGAAATAAGCCAGACACAGAAGGAAACATATTGTACAAGCTCACTAATATGTAGAATCTTAAAAAAAAAAGAGTTAAATATAGAGAAGCAGAGAATAAAACAGTGTTTATCAGAGGGTGGAAATATGGAGATATATGTCAAAGAATTCGAAGTAGCAATGTAAGATAAATCTATAAATCTAATCTACAACATGAGGATTGCAATTAATGAAATTGTGTTGTGTTAGGAACGTGTTTATTAAGTAGATTTTAGCTGTCTTGTCACACAAAAGAAGTAACGATGTGATGTGACATGATAGGTATGTTAATCTGTTTTACTATAGTAACAACTTTACTATCTATATGTATTCCATAAAATCATGTTGTAAACCTCAAATATACACAATAACATTTATTTTAAAAAACAGTAATTCAAAGGATGTTTGAGTTGAGTTGTTGATGCTATAATGATTCAGAAACGTTCTAGTATAAACTAGTTAAAACACTCACATGAGTCTCTTTTCAAAACTAGGAAGCATTTGGAAAATCTTAGTTGCAAAAATCTCTTCTCTAAAGTGGGACTTGGCTATGTGTGTTTTAATAAATGAGATGAGACAAAGAACATATGTCCCATGGTCATTGTCACTGAACAGAGCTTCACATAAGACAAATGTGCTGATAAACGTTCTGTTTCCAGTTATGAACTCACTAAAGCAATGTAACGTATCAGCATGGCTGCCTGCCTCGACTGAGGGCTAATCATGTTGATTATGGGTGTCCTAAAGTTTTCTCCTGGATTCCAGTTATAGACTGTCTTTCTTTCTTTCTTCTCCTTCTTTTTTTTTTTTTTTAAACTCTTGCCTCTTACCTGATTGGGCAATGGCAGTCTGACACCTTTCCTCCAGGACCCTCTGGTCCACTGGGGAGTAGCCCCAGCCAGGACCATCCATTGTCTCCAGTCTCAGATACAGTCCACCTAGAGTCTCCAGTTGAAAGAAGAAAGAGAGTGGGGGAAGAGGCCCTCATTAGGAGAGCTCCCTATACAGGCCATCAAAATGCTGTGGATGGCAGACTGGGTATGGTATAGCTGGAGTTGTAGGGAGTGAAAGTATTCACCAAGACAGTAATGAATTAAGAAAGGTAGATTTATTAAAGAGGAGGTACATTATGAAGGACATATTGGGCAGGACAACAGTGAGAGTGTCTGCTGTCTGCTGCTCCAGCCATATAGTGCATTTCTAATTACCTTCATGAGCTTTCTTTTTCTGTTTCATTCCTTGGACTCAAATTTGTATTTTAAAAATGCTTTAAATGTTCTATATCCAGTTTTAGCGTGTCTTGATGCAGACTAATTGTTCATATTCTTCTCTACTGTTTTCCTGATTGCCTATCTCTGCCTTGGAGCACATGGGCTACACAGGATACTCATGACTCTCTTTTGCTTCCAGTCAACAGCTTTGGGGATGATGAAGAGCTGTCCACATCTTCTGACAGTGATGAGGAGGTGATCAAACAATTTGAAATTTCTGTGTCTCGGTCCCAGAGTTTCCGTTCAGGAGCATCTGAGAAAGGAAAGCAGGCAAAATTGGAACAGAAACAAAAATTCAGCCGTTTGCTGTCTACCCACAAAGAAGATAGTGCAGAAGTATCTGCTTGTGAAGGTATTCTTTGCATCACACACTTTCTTGATCTAGACCAGGGATGGTCAATGGTAAGGATGCTTTTGAGTCACTTAACCACTGCACTATTTGAGAGTCCAGACAGGAGAAGAAAATGGAACAGGATGTAGCATCTGAGATGGGGCAAAGGGGCTACTTTGAGCATCTCAAGGGGGCTGTCATGCAGGAGATTGGGAGAGGGAATGGATCAGAAGTGGGAAATTGTTGACCTTGGTTTGTGGGGCCCCTTCTTTCTTGGTAGATCACTACTTCATACATTTTGAACATGAATCACGAGAGCATTATTTATAGAGCTTCAGAAAATCATGCTCCCTTTTGATAAATACAAAAATTTCACATGCCTATGCAATGACATTGAGATTCTGTGCCTTTTCTCCCATTTAGAATCATACGTTAATTTTCTTTTCAAAAGATATTTTGAAGCCTTTCTTCTAAGTAGTTTGTATTATTAAAGCAGTAGGCTTTTTATTTTCCAAATAAAAATATGTAGCATAGTAATATTAAACTATCTTTTTAAGCAACACATGCCCCTGTGTCCTTACACTTAATGCTTGTAGTTTCTGATGCACCCCACCTACAAGAGAGTTACTGGGTAAGCACAAAGTTTTATGTTATCCTCTAGTGTCATCATCCTAAGTTTACCTTTCACAATGGGGAGGGGATACTGAAAGGTAAGAGTGGGCCAAGTTTGTGATGATAGGCAGGTCTTCTTAAGGATCCTCTTCCCTTCCCAACACATACCCTAGATAACCTGGAGAGAGGATGCAGATAGGACAATATAATACTTCTTAGTGCTTTCCAAGTGAAGGCCAAGGCATCTCTCTGACTTCTTTATGCTGAGAACCCTGAACAGACACAGAACAGGGAAGGGTCTATGGAGCCCATTTTGTAAAAAGCTAGAGAAAATGTTGCACTGTTCATCTTCGTGACCTGGTCTCAGTGACTTAAGCTCTCTAACCTTACCCTTCATTCCTTTTGGGTATGTGGTCTTTCAAACCAATGTTGGCATTATAATATATGTTCCAAGTGTCTTCAACACTAGACTGAGAAAAAGGAGAGTGCAGAAACTGAGATAAGGTGAAAGAGAAGAAGAAATTTTCCAGCCTCGGTAACATAGCAAGACCCTATCTCTATAAAACAATTTTAAAAATTAGCAGGTTGTGGTGGCATGTTCCTGTAGTCCCAGCTACTTAGCACACTGAGGCAGGAGGATCACTTGAACCCAGAAGTTTGAGGCTGAAGTTAGCTATGATCATGTTACTGTACTCCAGCCTGGGTTACAGAGTATACCTTATCTCTAAAATAAAGAAATTTTAAAAACAGAGAAGAAATTTTGATTTGAGAATGAGGATAGCACAAGCAGAAAAAGGGCAAAGGGAGAAAAAAGATAGCATTAACTCTAGTCTTCAATTGGAATAACTTGCTATCCATCATATAGTTTGACTTACGGATATAGGCCAACATGACATATTTTATTGCCATTCTTTTTAGCCTGAGGTACACTAATAAATTAAGGCCTTATGTAACCAAACCACATATCAGTGGTTGCTGACCCTGTCATTTCCTCTCTCCTGCTCTTGGCTTCTCTCTTTCTCTGGTGTTACATCACAGCCTTCCTTTCTCTCCATCGAAAGGGCAAATGTTAGCTAATGAAAGTTAATAGCAGTTGACTCCCTGAGAATAGCTTGTTTAATCCTAAAGCTAATGGCCCCATTTCCCAAAAGCCCAAGTGTCTGATTTCTGATTTACACAAATGGCCAATGTTCTGACAACCATTCTAACCCTTACCTTTCCTGGAATGAGCAATAACTTATTGCTTGTCCTAACTGGTAATTCTTAATTTTTTGACAGACGGTCATAGTAAAGGTTAAATTTTCTCTGTTGGAGAAAGGAAAAACTCCACTCCGTGGAATCAATTACCTGTAGATTTTGAAGAAAATCTGCAGAATTTTCATAGAAATAGCTGTATACCAAATTTTAGGTTATCAAATGACATGAGAATGTTAATATAGGTTTTATAGTTTGATTTTTTTCTGTCATTTCTTTATGTTCATTTTTACATCAGTGGATTTGTTTTGGTGATAAAGAATAATAAAAATGTTAAGAATGCACCCCAGAGAAGAATGTTTTTGTCCTGTTCTCTATTTATTTATTGATTTAATCATTTAATCCTATAAGCATGGTTTTCTAAGATCAAATTTAATTGTACTTAATTATTCTGCTTTAAAAACACATTTAGAAGTGTTACACAACGAATTAAAGTATTGTATATGAGATCCTGCATTCTAGATTCAGTGGGCGAGGTTATTAGAACCACATTCCAGGCAAGTTCTCTTTTTTCCGGTGTTTCTGATTTAGTGTTATTGCACATTAATTGTCACTGCATTCCTGATAATGTCAAAGAGGGTCTGGTATAAGTGGTCTGAACCAGAAGGTGTATGTGTGTGAGGCCTTTAGGCAAGTCAGGTGGGCTGCAGTTAATAGTCCACTTACTAGGGCTTTTTACTCTCTGAGAAGTAATCTTATTTTGCTTATGAAACTTTTAATTCTTAGGATGTTTCATAAAAGCAGGATATTACCATCTTGGTGTCATCAAAACATGTTTCATAAAAGCAGGATATTACCATCTTGGTGTCATCAAAAACAACTATCCACAGAATCCGTGCTTAGTTTTTTTTGGAGTGGTCTATCAATCATGGTTCAATCAGAGACATGAAACCAGCAGGGCTATGCAGATCTATATACACACATAATGTACATATATGTACACACATGTGTGGGTGTGTCCATGTGTATTTCAAGAGATTTATTGCAAAGAATTGGTTTATGTGATTGTAGGGGCTGACTAGGCAGCATACATACACATTCCTGAAATCTGTAGGGTCAGACTGTCAGGCAAGATTGGCTGACACTCTCAGGCATGAGCTGAAGCTATAGTTGTTAGGTGGAATAGCTTCTTTTCCAGGGAAGCCTCAGTTCTCTTAAAGTCTTCCATCTGACTGATTATGTAGGATAATCTCCTTTACTTAAAGTCAACTGATTGTGGATTTCAATCACATCTACAAAGTACTTTCCCAGCAGCATCTAGATGAGTGTTGGATTATATAATTGGCACCTATAGCCTAGCCAAATGGACATATAAAACTGACCATCACAGATGTTAAACAGAAGTCTTTGTATTTGGGTGGTGATAGAGGAAAGGGGTTTGGGAATATGAAAGAAAGTAATTGGATAATAGGATTATTTTTTCCTAAGTGGAATATGGACTAAACAAGTTGAAGAATTTCTCTTCTAATAAATTTGGTTGATGTGACATAATTATAGCCTATAATTTCTAAGAAGCCAGGATACATTTCTCTGACAACAGGTAATTACTTTTGTGTGTGTGTTGAAGGTGACATGATCTTCTTTAATTTAAAGACCTGGGAAGGCTGCTTTATGTAGAGGTGAATCACGTTTCCCTCTTGTCCTCCTTGCAATTTGACTTGTGCCCTAGATTTGCTTTTCTAATTCATTCCTTGCTTGTCTGTCATGGAAATGGTTTGCTACATTAATATAGTTCTTATGTTTTTCGTTATGAATAGCTTTTCAAGGCTTAATGTGGCTTTCGAAAATTCCCTTATTACTGATCTAGGTATTATCACCATAGGAATTGAAGTCATGAGACAATTTTATGGGGGTAATTTCTTGGTAAAGTAAGATTTTGTGCTGAATTCCTGCTGGGTACTACACACATGGATGGATGACTCCCTGTTTAATAGGATATTTTACTGTTCATGTATGTGAGCAACGGGTGTGCTAATTAGAGACTTAGAAGAAAATTCTGCTTTATGTTGTAGGTTTTTGCATGTAGATTTTTCCTTCTTCTGTCATTTTGCATGGTCTGTTTTGGTGTGTTGGACAAATAACTAAAAGTATGAGTATAAAAATGTTCTGGTGTCCTTTGAAAAATTCCCAATGTGCCTGAACATGAATTAATAATGATAAAAAGGCAGATAGGGAAATTTCTTAGTGGCCTACTGGGGTTTCGCAGAATCCCAAATTAAAAGTCTGGAGCTGTGCCTTGAGGACCATATCTGCCCAAAGATGTTTTTATATGGTCTGAACATGGTGACAGTATATTTAAATTTGAATGCTTATTCTAGCTGGGTCCTGTACTATATGGTAAGCTTCTGTTACCACCACTCTATATTGCTGCATACCTGCTTACACTTTAAAGTTATCTGAAGGTTTAGTGAGAACCCACTAGCAAATAGAGTGTGCAGTAGATGTACATGGCTTGGTGCCTTCAAGGAGCTTACATTCTAGTTAAACTTATAAGGCTAATGGAGGAAACCATCGCTACCAGGCAGTGTGTATGCAAGAGCTGAATTTATAGCATGTACTTTGCCATTCCATTCCCTCATCCTGTCCAAATCTCTAATTTTTTTTTCATCCTGGGATGGGGTTGCTAGAGGAGATGGGGGTGGGGATCAAAGAGATAAGAGATTCTTAGCTGTACTTTGAGTGTGGGAGGGAAATTGTGGTGAAGTCTAAAACTTAGGAAGACACTGTTAGTTTTTTCTTACCATCTGAGGGTAACTTTGACATTCAAGGGAGAGAAAAAGGATGAATGGGCTGAGAAAGCAAAACATTGAGTCTGGAGGAGTCAGGGAAGGTACAAGTGTTGTTGGGCTTTGTATGGACAGGAAGGAGGGTTTGAGGGGCACTGTGAACAGAAATACACAGCTGGAATTTTCATGAGTCAGTGAGACCAGAGGTGATGGTGACTTGGGAAGCAGTGGAAAGTGAGGTTTGATGGGTTTTATGAGGCCAGTTTGGGCCAGGCAGGTAAGCAAAGCTAATATTTATAGCAGGCCTTCTGGCTACCAGGTGGATATTATTTCATGTGTCCACAATGACCTATGGCTTTTTATCATTTTTTAATCAAGGAAACAAAGATTTAAAGGGTGAATATTGTTCAAATTCTTAAGGCAGAAATAGTACTTAAGCTAATGTCATCAGAATCCATGTCCAGTGTTCTTCCCATGGATCAAGTAGAGAACTTTTTACTTAGGAGGACCATGAAAGCCTTTTGAGCAGAGGGTAATATAGTGAACATGAATGAAAAAAGAAAGAATGGTAGTAGCATCAAGACCATACGATCTCTATATTAGATGATTTTTTTGGTACTACAGGTCCATTGTGGAAGTCTTGTGGTCATTAGCTACAACAAAAATGCTAATGTGTTTATTTTTTCCTTCTAACATGGATATACATTATTTATACTTATTTTATTAAGAAGTGCTAAACCTTCTTGTATCCCACATAATGAGTTAATAATCTTATTGATACGTGGACCAAGTTTTTCCACTATATGGGTGGAATTATGTTTCTGTAGGTGTTACTCGTATGGGTTTTGTCTTTGTGGTTTTGATTGCTGTGGTTACAATTACTCAATTTCTCTAGGTAAAACGGTATTTAAAAAATAATGATTTGAAATAGTTTCCTTATTGCAAATTTAGATTTGGATGGAGCCAGTCAACTGGGTTATTCTGAGAATCTGTCTTACGGTGAAGATGACTCCATGCCTGCTCACTCACAGTCCCCATGTGAGAGAGGGGATACCAGACATCATGGCACATCTCACCGAGAGACTAGTGTGGTCCGAAGCCTCAGCCGCCAGTCCACAGAGGGCAGCTTGGAGTTGGAGACAGCTTTTAATAGCCGGGGATTTGAAGATTCCTATGCCACTGACAGCTCCTCCATGTGGAGTCCGGAGGCAAGTTATTGATTTTTATTCTTTCATTGGTTTCCTCTCTTCCTCCCATCTCCTTCTTTTCCTTTCTCTCTCCTGCTGACTCTTCTCCCCATAAAAATTTTCCAGAAAGGAGGCATTGCTATGGAAAAAAGACCTAAAAAGACCCCTTTATTTGAAATAAATTTTTATTCAGATGACTAAAGCCCCTATGTGTGTCAATAAAATAATCATAAATAAATTTCTTTCAAAATGGAAAAAAAGAATGGCAGAAAAATATAAAGGAGAATAAGAATGGTGGTAGAATGGACCCAGGAATAGTCAGACTTTTCTTTTTATTAATTTTTTTTTTTTTTTAGAGATAGGGTCTTACTCTGTCACCCAGGCTGGAGTACAGTGGTGCAATCATAGCTCACTGAAGCCTCAAACTCCTGTGCTCAAGTGATCCTCCTGCCTCAGCCTCCCAAGTAGTTATGCCTACATGTGATGCCGCCATGCCCAGCTAATGTATTTATTTTTTGTAAAGGTAGGGTCTCACTCTGTTTCTCAGGCTGTTGAACTCCTGGTCTCAAAGTGCTGGTATTACAGGCATGAGCCACCATGCCCAGCAGCTTTTCTTTTATATGAAAGCTTTTACAGGCTTAATTTTAAATAATGAAATTATTAGTATTTTAGAGAGACTGGTTTATTTCCGTTGTGGTTTTGGTTAAGTGGAGTCTGTTTTTATTTACTCCAAATCTTGAGTTATGATAGTTTCAATATTAAAATTATTTGAAAATTGAACTAAAATGAAATGGCCCTGCGAATGAAATTATATAAGATATTATGATGAGGATCTTGCAGTGTGAATATATTTATTAGCTTTGAATTTAATTGAAGGTCTAGGAGACAGCATTAATCTGTAATGATACCCTGGTCATTGATACTGCTTTTTAGAATACATCTCTGATAAAAGATGCTTCTTCTACATCTCTTTATGAATTAAAGCTTAGTCCAGAATAAGCCTAACAATTCAGAGATAGGATGGGAGGGGATGATGATTGTAGCTACCATTTATTGAGCAGTTACTACATGCCCGGCACTGATAAAAATTTTATAAACATTGTTTTATCTCACAGGAAATTATAGTTATTCTTCATTATATAGATTTTTCCTATTATGATTTTATGACATTCATGGTGTTAAACAGTGGTGTTTAATACCTAATTTGAAATTAATTTTGATGAAATAAGTCACATAAGTATATAAAACTTTAATATAATTTGCAGGGATAGAGGAAGGAAGAGAAAGGTGCATAGATTTTATTAGCATCAGTCTGAGAAAATAAATAGAATGAATCCTTATTAGGACCTGGACTGTCACACTCACTAAATGCTCAAGGCAAAGGGGGAAAAAAGTCACAGAAAATCATTCTTCAGAGCCTTATTGCTAATACGCTGGAGCATGTAGGGAGTATATAAGGAGGTGTATGCATGCACATTTATGCCCCTACGTTGATGTTTCTGCTGAGGACTAGAAAAGGTAACTCAAATGTGTGGTCTGTGGCTTGTTAAAAGCAGTCCTTGATATAGAGGCACCCAAAGCCATTAACATTATAAGTTTTGTGTGGAAAAAAAAAAAAAGACAGAAAAAGAAAGGTCTGGTTCCCCATTGATTTACTACTGAGTCATCTCAAATCCCACACAATAACATGAACAATTGTGTTGGCTTTCTCACCACAAAAACAAAACAGAACTGTTTATCTGCTTATCAATACTCTGACTCTTTGATAATTGTGCTAGTAGGCTTGGAATTGCCTCCTCCAGATAACCTCCCATTTACCTGCCTGCTGGAGCTTTAATAGAAGACTTGGTGGTGAGGGTACTAAGTGTTCTCAGACTCCAAAAATACCCAGACATCTCTGTGTGCTCCATTCAACCTCCTATCTATTTTGAGACAAAAACTGTAATTTGGTGCTCCTACAGTAGAACTTCAAATCCAACTCGGAGGCAGTTCCTGTAACTGCCTGTTTTCAGGCTTAGCCTGCCTTTTAAGAATTGATTTATTTGCCTCTTAGCTGTATTAAGAACTGTCTTTCCCCGTGAATCTGACATTGGGAACATATTGTAGGTCTGTTTACTTTGGGCCACACAGATGACATCAACACTATCTTACTAAAACAGAAAGGCTTTTCATTTGACAGAAAATCTTTAAACCTACATGGGTTTTGACAACTTGACACAAGTATTTTCATCTCAAAGAAAAACCCAGGATATTAGAGCTCAAGGAGCCATTTGTTTTGCCTCCAAAGGAAACCAGCCTTGTGGTGTGACTACCTGTTAGGCTGATGGATTTTGGGGCTCTGCTATTTTCTGCTGCCAAAGGCCATCGACATATTCCTGCAGACCCAGGGCTTGGCAGGGAAGACAACAGGAGTGTGGTTGGTGATTCTGAGCACACAGGGAGACAGGTGTCCCACTTTCCATCTCTGCTTTCCACTGATTAATTGGTTGGCCTTGAGAAGTTAATTAAAATCTGCCAAATGGGGATAAGAATGAAGAGATTTTTACCTTGCAGGAAGGTCAGATGGATTAGTGGTATTAACAGTACCCACAGGAGGAGCTCCTTCAGTTGCCTGGCGATAGGTAAAGTGTGTTGAAATAATTATTTGCTATGAAAATACAAACCTTCACAAATCTTTGTCTCAAATCAACCCAGGAAGGGGCCACAAAGCCCAGTTTTCATGGACCATAGCTTGGATTAGTCCATGCAGAGCCCAGTAGTGACCTGGAGCTGTGCCTTATTCAGAGGTCTTAGGACAGTTGATAAATCTGTCCTGGGCTACAGACCCCACACAGGACTCCTCGGGACCTGCAGGTGGAGTGAACATTTATCTGAAGAGACAGCCTGGTAGATAAGTGGAGAGTTCCTTATTAACTAGGATGTTTCTATATTGGCATTGAAGTTGATGACAAAACTAGGAACTGTTAATCAATATTAGGAGCAGGGACCTCAAAGGATATGAAATTCCTAGTAGTGTGTTTCCAATCCCCACTTCCCATCTTCTTCCCTCTTCATCTCACACATTCACTATACATACAAATAGCTATGATGAAAGGTTTGGGGGAGAAGTAGGGAGAGCTTATGGTTCAAAAAAGGCTTGGGCTTTTGAGTATTGAATACTGGTTGAGGGAAGCTCTGGATTCAGACTGTCAGGATCTGACTCCTGGATAATTTTGTCTGGGCATATGATCTTGGCACAAGGAGAGGGAGAGTGTTCATTACTTAGCCTTCTTAAGCTTTAGTTTTCTCCTCCATAAAATGAGGATCTTAAAATACCTATCTCATTAGGATGATGTAAATACTTAAAAAGATAATGTGTCTTAGTTGGGTTCCCTAAAAGGCAGAGGCTAAGGCAAAGGCTTATGTTCGTTACCTATGTTCCTATTTCCCAGGTAATAAGAGTGAGGAACAAGAGGAGTGAGACAGGGAAGAAGGGGATCCAGTATGGGAAAGAGCGTTGGGTTGGCCACCACTAAGTAAGACTAATTGCTTGATCTTGTGGGACCATGCTCCAAGAAGCTGCATAAACCGATCTCAGGACATTTGACCAAGGGGAGAAAAGTTTACTGCATGAAACACAGCTCCTATGTACTCTGGACTTAACACACATGAGTGTCAAGTAGGACGCTACAGCTCTCTAAGCCTTGGTATCAACAGAAAGCCTAATGGTGAGAGTTGAGAATTACATGGTATGAATCGGAGGTAAGACATTCTTGAGTTGTGCCAGACTTGAAGCTACTTAGAGCCCAGATGGGCTGTGCCTTAGGGGAGGAAGGAAAATGAGGTAAGGCCAAGAAGATCTGAAGCATATAAAACCAGCTTTTATAGTCTATAAAGGATTTGGTTTGGTACCTGACAAAAGGAATGTCTTAGTGGATGTTAGCTATTATTACTCATGGTCAGACAAACAGTATAGTGATGATAAAGTGTAGGCTAAAATAGATGGGAGTTTTAAGAGGAGACAAAGGAGTTTGAAAGAAGACTCTGACTTGATTTTTTGAGTTGGTCTAACTCCTTGGAGACTTGCTTCTAATATTATATATACACTAGTCAGTTGTATTCAGAAGTCTCTATAGCAACCACTTTTATCACTTGAAACTAAGTATCTCTGAATAGAAACACTCACAGGATTGCATGCTCAGAGGAAAGGATATAAGAAGTTTCCCTTATTTTACAAGAAATTTAAATTTTCTTGGTAGGCTAATTTGAATCTTAAAAGAGAAAGGTATTTATTAGATGCCTGCTATCTGTCAAGTCCTCTACTCTTCACAACATCCCCATACAGAAGGTATCATCCCCATTTTACTGTTGAGGAAAACAGAATGTGGAAAGGATTAAATAACTTTCCCAATGTCATAGACCTAGTTAGTGGTAGACCTAGATGATTGGTTCCAGAGAACTGTGTACTTTCACTTGAACTCTGTGGGAAAGTTTCATTGATGAATGCATGTTTTGATGTGTTTTATTATAATTTTTGAAATGAAGAAATCCCTAAATTAGCAAAGTCTGGTGTTCAATTGCATAAATAGGAACTGGTTTACTATAAAAATCAGTTCAAAGTTTAGTTACAGGTAAGAGTCATGCCTTCAGAAGAGAAATAGAATTATGTTGACATTATAATTTGTTGGTGGGATGGTTCATTATAATAAATTGCAGTTCGACTCAGTTTTCCCAGTGAGGTAATCAGATTTGAGTCCTACAAGTCAATTTTTGTCCAAGGGTGATATTCCATTAAGAGTAGAGGTGTGTTTGAGATTAGGCATAGATATTTATGGAGTTCAACCTGAGCTAGGTATGTCACATCAATTAAAAACTCAAAAACAATACTCTATCAAGTAGGCATATTAATGTGCATTTTTCAGCTAGAGTACAGAGAGATTGATCTATCTGGCCAGAGTCAAAATGCTAGTCAGTGGTAGAGTTATGACTTCAATCCAGGCTCAGTGTTGCTGTTTGCGAAATGGCTGCTGGGGTGCCTTCCTAAACCCTTGCTGCTCGAAGTGTGATCTGAGATACCAGCAGCATCATCCTCCTCTGCTCCAAAATGCAGAGTCCCAGGTCCCTCGTCAGACCTACTGAATCAGAATCCTCAGATAATTTAGGTCCACATTAAAACTTGAGCAGTTCAACTCTAAACCTTTTCTCCCACATAGACTGAAAATATACTGAAGGATCACCTGCCCAGGACCCCCATTAAGATTCTTGTCTGTAGGAAGCTCTTGCCTGTAGAGAACAGGACCAAGCTCAACTATTTCTACCGGGGACACAAAGAAAAATCACTTATTGGCAATTGCATGGTGACTTAATTTTAGATTTAGCGTCTCAGTTGGTTTCAATGATTCTGGGCAATTGTGCTTTTTGAGAGGCAGTGTATATGAAAACACTTTGCAAAATATAAAAGCTATATTTATTCATTCCAAAAACTTTCATGAAGGCTCACCATATGCTAGGCACTGGGCCGTCAAATAACTCATGGTCTAACTAGGAGACAGACGAGCACATAGCCCTAATTAAGGCAGGGGGATGTGCCCTGGCCATCAGAAAGCATAAGATTTGTAAGGAGCACAAACTCCCCACTCCCCAAAATGCAGTTAAACATCATTATTTCCATTCCTAATCTTTTCCTCTGTCTGCAGCAGGAACAGGATGGGACCAATCTTCAGGTGTCATCTGGGGTCTCAGAGCCCATTTCAAAGTGCGGTGACTTAGATGTCATCTTTGAATATAGAGCTGCCAGCCAGAAGCTAACAGTGACCATTGTGAGAGCACAGGGCCTCCCGGATAAGGACCGAAGTGGCATCAACTCCTGGCAAGTTCATGTAGTTCTGCTGCCCGGGAAGAAACAGAGGGGTAGGACAGGCATCCAGAGAGGGCCCAACCCAGTCTTCAAGGAGAAGGTCACCCTTGCCAAGCTAGAGCCCAGAGACATGGCTGCCTGTGCTGTACGCTTCCGCCTGTATGCTGCCCGCAAGATGACCCGAGAGAGAATGATGGGAGAGAAACTGTTCTATCTCAGCTACCTGCAGCTAGAAGGGGAAATGAAAGTGACTTTGGTTCTGGAGCCAAGAAGTAATATAAGTGTGAGTATACTAAATGGTGCCACTAAGGACGTGGTGTGTTCAAAGACCTGGGATTGTCAGCCTTTGATTTAGTGCTTTCAGCCTGTGAATTCAGAGACTGTAATTTGATTTTCCATTTGGCTCTCCCATCCTTATAAGCCATGATTGCACTTCCTGGTACAATGGGTCTTTCATGCCTGTCTTCCTGCTAACCCAATGGATAAATATCATGTTCATTTTAGGGCATGGCAGCAGCAGTGTGGTAGAGGGCATGGACAAAATAGAAAAGGTGGCTTGGCCTTCTAGTTTGTGGATAAGTGGTCCTGTTCCTCCCACACCCAACATGTATGGTGAATCTCAGGAATGGGACTTTCCAGGCAAGGCCCTTAACAAGTGTATGGGAGCAGGCTGCAATAGCAGCCCTGAACTCCAGACACGTTGGAGACCTCCCATTTGAATGACTGCACTTTTCCCTAGGGCCCCATTCTTCTTTTGGTCCCAAGGTTTCTTGCATGTCTACAAGATGAGAAGCCCACTGTTGCTGTGGGCTCTATGTTATGTAGGGTGAAGATCTCCTTTCATAAATGATTGGGTAGCTATCTAGGCTATTGGGCCAACCAGTCACTCAGCAAAAGAGGCTTACTGTCAAGTACAGTGGAGGCAAAGCGGATGCGGGAAAGGACTAAGATGTGATGCCTCTGCCCTTAGGGAGGAGGAGGAAGGTGATAGACCAGTCAAGGTAGGCAAGGAAAGAGAGTGGCAGAGGCTGCTATTTGCTTAGAGGGATCAGAGAAGATTTCTTTGAGGTGGTGATACAACACAGAACTTTAGGGATCGAGGGAGCAAGGCTTGTGGATGATGAAGATTCTAGACAGAGGAGGTGGAAGAAGCTTATGACTGCGGAAGAGCATAGGAGCCAGAAAGGCTGGAGGATAGTGGTGGGAGATCTGTCCACTTGGATGCCCAGTGATGTCTCCAAATGAACATCTCCGGACTTGAAATCCTGATTTTTGCCCCCCTAAATCTATTCAACCTACAGCCTTCCCATCTTGCCTAAAGGCAATTTCATACTTCCAGTTGTTAGGGTCAAAAATCTTAGATGTCATTTGTGGCTTATCTCTTTTCCACCTGAAATCCTGTTGGCTCCATCTTCAGATATAATGTGAACCTGGCTTTTTGCTGGATTAAACCTCCTGATGGTGGTTTATCCGCTTTTGCCTTTGCTCCTACAGACTCTTCCCGACTTGGGGGTTGGAATGAACCTTTTAAAGCATAAGCCAGATCACGTCTGGTCTCTACTCAAATAGCTTTTTTTCCTTAAGCTCTGAGTAAATCTGAGGGTTCCAGAGAGAGGGAACTTGCAGCAAGTGCAAATGTTGGGAGGTGGGAGGAGCTTGTCATGACTGAAGAAGAGCACAGGGGCCAGAAAGGCTGGAGTGTAGTGTGGGAGATTTCTGATATCTGAAAACACGGAGGCCAGAATGCACAGGAGGTCAGAAGGGATCCTGCACTGTAAAGCACAGGAATAGTATGATTACACCCATATTTCTCTGTACCTGGCCCAGTGCTGTGTGCTAGGGCCACAGAGTTGAGGGGGCAAAACAAGCTGGTGGGAAATAACTTCAAAGGTGAAAATTCTTTCATTCACCAGTTACTTGAGTGTAGTTATTTGCCAGACATTAGGCTCCGTGCTAGGAATTGAGAGACTAATACGGAGTCAGAATTTCCTGGGAGAGGCACGCAATGAGTGAGGGGTGCCATGGTGGGAGCTTTTTCTCCTTACCCAGAAGCAAGCAAAAATCTTGTTGTCAAATTTTTATCTTCTAGACAGCATGGGCTATAAGGCAACTATCACAACCACCAGTTCCACGGTTCACAAATTGTGTTTCATGAAAGCCTGAGACATTACACAGATTCTTGTAATGTCCCAGGATACTTTCCTACAGATGTGCAGAATATTTGATTCATTTTATTTGTTGTATTTATTGGGTTCATGATACATTTGAAGAAATGATTTCAGATATTGAAAAGAAAGGTTTAAACCAAGTTCTATGCACTCGTTTCTAGAGGAAGAGGTTGTGTTTCAGGGGGTCAGGCTGGCCTGCCCTGTTAGGGCTGATTCCCACTCCTACTCCTCAAGTGAGATTGGTGTCCTAGTCCACTTTGCATCCTTCTCCTGGTGGAGGTGCATAGAGGTAGGTGCTCAGGAGAAGCATGCGTGTGAATACACATGACCGAAGGTGTAGGCTCTCTTGTGGGCTTACCAGGTGCCTACCAGGTCACTGAGATCCACAACCCAGGTGTTGGCTTCTTTATCAAATAGTTTTTAAAGTGCACATTTTCAACATATTTATTTCCTGAAGGGGTAAAATGTCTCATCTGGCATATACCTAGCTACCTTAAGTAGAACTAGGAGCCAAATGATCTATGTGCGGGCAGATGCCCAGCGGTCATTTCTTTTACAGTTAAGACGAAAACACCTTCTGTATTGCTACATTCACCAAGGAGCTACAGGGCATAGAAATCAAACTCAGGCCTAGAGTGGATGGGTCCATAGAAATATTCAGGCACAAATTACACAGGAGGGGATTTGAGTCTATATTAAATGTATTATTAGCTCTCCACATATCATAGAGGGTTTGATTTACACTAGCAATAACATCTTTGTCTGTTTTGTCTTTAGAGAGGAAATATTGAATGGAGACAGCTCTTGAAACAAATATGTCAGCTCATAATGCAGGGGACCTCATCCATGACTGTGCTCCTGGGCCCATTGTAATTCACACCGAGTGCGCCCTTAGTCATCTCTGGCAGTCGTTGGGGTTGGGTCACAGTTTCACCAAACATAATATCGGCTTTCTCTAAAAGAGAGTGGTGCAGCGTGGGTCAATGGATTCTTTGTTGTTCTTCCCCTCCAGAGTGGAGGGTCTCCGCTCAGCCCATCTGCAGTTTCTCACAGTGACAGTGCTTCATCCACGCAGTCGCTGTCTCATGGAGGGGCGCCAGAGCTGTTGGTGGGGCTGTCGTACAATGCCACAACAGGACGATTATCTGTGGAAATGATCAAAGGCAGCCATTTCCGAAACCTCGCTGTTAACCGAGCCCCCGGTAAGTGTGTGTATGTTCCCCCAGCTCTTGTCCTTCCAGAGGCAAGTAGAAGGTTGTGTCTGCTTTCATCTTAATTCTTTAATTTTTGCTGTAAAGATGATCCTATTATGGCTTAGCCAAGATTTCACAAAGAGATACCTGTGGGTTTTTTTTAATGGCTTTCTATTTAATTAGACTTCTTCGATATCTAGATACATCGTGACATGAAATAGACTGACCTGTGTGTCTACACTGTTTAAAGGAAAAGAATGATGTTTTCAGCAACATAATGTGTGTGGGCGATTAAAATCTGCTAATATGTTTCAAGTCTTCAACTTTAAAGAGTCAGAGCTCTGGCCTTGAAGTGAGGCAGTTCTGAGATCAAATTCCAGCTCTTCTTACTATATTATATATTCACTTGATTTGCTCTGATCCTGTGCAATTTCTCTTTTCAGAACCCCAGCTAACTCATCTGGAAAAAAACTATATTGGCAGGGCACAGTGGCTCAGGCCTGTAATCCCAGCACTTTGGGAGACTGAGATAGGAGGACTGCTTGAGGCCAGGAGTTTGAGACTAGCTTGGACAGCATAGAGAGACCCTGTCTCTACAAAAAAATCTCTACCATAAGTGTGTGAGTGTGTGTGTGTACATATATATTATACTATTAATATTTGATGTTTAATATATTAACACATTAATAATATACAATATTAATATAATATAGATAACTATATCCAGAGCCCAGAACTCTGGATAACAAATTATATAGTATAATATAATTTATATAATTGATTACTATATTAATTAACCCTATATTACATATTTAATATATTCTATGTAATATATTAATTGTAACTTCCTGATAGGCTCATTTTGAACTTTAAGTAAAGTGACTTATGTACATGTTTAGTACAGTGCCTACCACATAGTGAACACACAAGAGATGTTAATGGTTGTAGTAAAAATGGAGAGGGAAGTAAAGGAGGCATAACAGGGTCCATGCAAGACTGGTTCACTAGGGGAACAACCACTTTTGAAATGACCACTGGAAAGAGAGTTTCAAGACATAGCCCTGTAGCTGCAATCCAGGGTTCAGGAAGCCAGACTTAAAAAACTGCTGCTGTCAACTGCCTCAATAGCCTTTCCAAGAAATTAGAATTGAACATTGGGATCATGCTGTTAAAAAATTAGCTCACCTTTTTGTGACCTTGCTTATCAACAAACATGCTTGGAAAGGGGCCGTTTCTCCTGTGCTTCTGCCTTCTGGACCACATGTAAATACATCTGATTGAAGAAAACTAATTTGTATCAGAATGCTAGCTGCAAGAGAGTCTGAAAAATGTTGTTGAATTTCCACTCTTTCAAATATAGGCAAGTAAACTAGAAGGGAGTAGAGAGCAAGGAAGCTTGCCTACTACAGGCATCAAAGCATTCTTGAAAGAAGAATGAAGTCATTACAGATGTAGTAGCCTGGAAGAGTCTGTGGACTCTGGTATCATGTGTCAGCAGCAGATGAAGAGCCAGGTGAGCCACTAGAAAAGGGTTGGTTCCTGCAACCAAACCTGGGCTCTTACTCTTTTTTGCCCTTAATTGAACTGTAACCCACAAAGTCTGTGCATGGGTGCATCTTGTTAGTCAACCTGCATTTAAGCCATTAAAGCAAGTTAGTAAGGAAAGCCCCAGCACTTTGGATAACAAAATAAACTGGAGGTACAAACTGTATTTGTACTGACACTCAGAACCAGGTGAGAGCTATTTAGAGTGCATAATACATGCTTATCATTGATTGCATGACTAGAGTCTCTTTGCTAGACACAGTTTTGTTTTTCAAAATTAGTGCTGAATTTACTAGAGATCTGGATTTACTACTTCTCTTTCAGAACTTTTGCCAATCTCATTTCCTGTCCTTCCAAGATTGGTAAAATCTAAATAATTTTTTTTAGGAACATGCTGAAGATGCAGAGAATGATGGGGATGTGGGTCACACAGTCATGACCCATTCAAGTACATTCTGGGAAGCTTATTTGTGCATTGGTTGGCATCAGGCATTATAGAGAAGTACAACCTGGTGGTTAAGAGATTATCCACTGGAGGTCAACAAATCCAGGTGTGAATTCAGGCTCTGCCACTTATTAATTGTGAGTTACTAAACTGTTCTGAATCTCAGTTTCCTCGTCTGTACAAAGGAGATTATGGCACTTTATTGGTAGGAATGATACCTACAAAGCTGTGGTGCAGAGGATGGAGCTATTGTATCTTTATTAATTTCTATATAAAAGAAACTATGCCAAACAAGATATTCTTATAACTAATATTTAAAGCCAAATAGTAAAAAAGGGCAAATCCTAACTTAGAAATTGACTTTGTTCCAGAAGTTTAAGTCAGTTCGTCATTTAGCACATGATTCATCATAGGCAGAGCATTGCAATTCAACTTAAAATGTAGCTGACATGTAACCAAAGTAATAGAAAACAATGCTACTGCAATGCTATTAATTAAAACAGAAACCCAATAGTGAAGACAAAAGTTTTTTGTCTCTGTAGAATGCTGGTACTTGAGGAAAAGCCAGTTTAATTAGGAGGGGATGAGAAAGTAGAAGTTTCCTTTGTGGAGCTTCTGAAAGGGACCTCTTGGAATTTTCAAGGGCTTTCGACGTGGACGGCCTGGTTCTACATTATGTCTCGCTTCATTATGGCACTTGCACTGCTTCAACTGTTATGTGGCAAGCTTGGGATACATTTTTAGTTCCCATATGGAAGAGAAGAAAGAGAAAGAATGAGGGACACGAGTTTTATGAGGTAACTGAGCAGAGTTGGAAGAAAGAGGGGGAGAAGAAAAGAGGGTGCCAGCCTGGAGATGTGTGGAGCTGTGAGTGGGGAACAGAGGAAGCATGCCAAGTGCCATGTGCGCCATTCACACTGTGGTGGGAGGGCAGGAGGCCCAGCTGAGCCCTGCTGCAAAGTTCCCCACAGGGGAACTGCCTGGCATGGGAACTTGTACACGAAGGTCATCAAATCCTATCCTTGAGACTCTCAGCTCAGGTGCAGTTACCGCCTTTGTGAAACAGAGACTTTAGTCCTGCCTTATGAGCAGGATGGTGATGATCAGGGCAAGGATTGTGTGAAGAATGGTTCTTAAGTCGTGTGACGAAAAATAGGTTGAGCCTGAGTTTGGGAACTTTTCTAGAATATTGTTAAGTTTTAATTCTTGCTTGAACAGAGACGAAGGCTGGAATTTACAAGTGAGACACTTTTGCCTCAAAATATATTATGAAACAAAAGGTAACTTGCCAACTTGGTCCAGTTAGAAGATTGTTTTGATATTTTAAACTCCCCCCCCCCAAGAAAGACAGAGGAGTTAGACAAATAGTAAATGGCATTCTTCTTCTCTATTCAGGTCTTAGAAGAAGTCAGTCACTGAGATATAACTGCTCCCCTCCCCCAACTTCTTAGGTAAAATTCTTGGGTCTCCCCAAGGACTCAGGGCTTTGTGAGGCAGATTTTACTCTGATGGGCAGGAGCTAGTGGGGGCAGTCATAGAGACATGTGTCTCTACTAGCACCTGCCAGAGTCTTCACTGCACAGTCCCCTGCAAAAAAAAAAAAGAGGACAAATTGCATAAAATGTTGGTTAGGATGTGAAGAATACATTCTTGGTGAGAGTGTAAAATGAAACAGCCACTTTGTTGGAAAAAGACTTGGCAGTTTCTTATAAAACGAAACATGCATTGAGAATTTGTCAATTCCATTCTTAGGCATTAACTTGTAAGTCAAAAAAGAAAAAAAGAAAGACCTGTACAGGAATGTTTATAACTGCTTTATTCAAAATGTCAAAAGCTGAAAAGGGTCCTCATGTCCATCTACAGGAGAATGAATAAACAAATTAAGATATATTTATATAATGGAATACTATTCAGCAATAAAAAGTAAAATTAAGCTTAGACATTCAACAACGTGGAGGAATCTCACCAAGTTACCAAGTAACTACTGCCTGATTCCATTAATGTGAAAGTCTTCAACAGGCCAAACTATCTATAATAATCTATAATCTATAGTGGGGAAAAAAGCAGAAGAGTGGTTGTCTCAGGAGGGGTATGGTGCCAGGATGTACTGGGTAGGAACATGAGAGAATATTCTGGGGTGACAGAAATGCTCTATATCTTAATCGGGATGTGGCTTAAATGGATGTATGCATTTGTCAGAATTCACCACCGAATGACACTAAACTTTGCACATTTCAATATATATATACGTTTTACCTTAACAAAAGAACGGTACATGAGATTACCTCTAGGTCCCAAGTTGGAGGATGGGTAGAGCTAGGGGAAAAAAAATAACTGTACAATCTTGAACTTTAGTTAGTGCAATGCATGCTGAAACGTTTAGAGGTGAAGAGCAATGATGGCTACAACTAAAAAGGATTGATGAGTGAATAATAGATGCACAGATATGTGAGAAAATAAAACAATTCAAGACTCAAGGTAGTGGATACATAGGTCTCCACTGTACAATTATTTCAAATTTTCTGTGTGTTTGAAATTTTAGATATATAGCACGTGGGGAATACAAGCTAGTATGGTCTGGAATAGATCAGCTGGGTCAAGTGGGTTAAAATAAAACATGAGTCTTAGCCATAGATAGATAGGGCGTCTTTGGTTGGCAATACCCTTTTTTTTTTTTTTAATGACATCTCTGGATGTAATCCTATACCCCTGGTTCAACCTTGGGTGGGAAAGAAGGGATACCAAGAAGCTGAACCTGAGGGCATCTTCTGTAACATCCTCCATTATCCACATTCAACCCAGGAGAAAGTATGTGGTTGGGCATTTCTAACTTAAGCCTTTTTCTCTACTCATCTAATATATATAGATTTTAAAAACTCTCTATATGTAGGTATGTATGCATCTATGTATTAAGCAATCAATCATCTTTTGGTGAAAATGCCCATGTTATAAAATGTTGTGGTTCTTCTTTTAATCAGATAGGTGGCTATGGAAGATAAAATAGACTCTCTGAAAATTA